TGAAATTGTAGTATAAAATATTCGGTCCGAAACAACTAGTCGGTACTCATTAAAATACTATGATTTTGTTATGTTTATTGCTATAAAGTTTATCATCATTTTAAAAAAAATACTTTATGTAATTTAATTTATTACATGTTGAGGCCTAAGGGCCTTTTTTTTCTGACTCGTCCAGGGCATTTAAATCCTCAGGACCGGCCTTGTGTATAAAGAAACGTGTGTGTGTGTGTGTATATATATATATATATATATATATATATATATATATATATATATATATATATATATATATATATATATATATAGAGGTATGAAAATGCTTTTATACACATATTTACACAAAAATATATATTTAAATGAGTCAAAGTATATTTATACATTAAATATGTTTTTACACGCATGTATACGAATAAATCCATATTTTTACATATAAAAACGTTTTGGTCTTTGGATGGATAGGAGGGAAGCATTCGTGGATCTTACTGGGGTCTCTCATCTCGTTGGTTTGGGGAGCGGGGGTTTCACAGCAGGGCATGCCGCTTTGAAAGCCGCTGCGTGCAAAGTGGTAAAGCACGAGAATGTATGTATAGAAAATCAACATGTGTTTGTACCTTTTGCATTCGATACATTTGGTTTTCTCGCACCAGAGGCGGTGGAGCTCCTCAATAGAGTTCAACGGGTCATGCATTCTAATGTCATATCTCGTAGATCCACAAATGTTGTTTTCAAAAGAATTGGTTTTGTCATCCAGAAAGGGCTAGCGGTGCAGCTTGTTGCCCGTTTGCCTTCAATCGATATGTATCGAACTATTATAATTAAGATACAACTCATATGGAAATGTATGTGACTTTTTTTTCTAATAAAAACGTTTTTACAAGTAAAAAAATAATTGTATATGTACAAATATGTTTTTATGATGGTATATATGTAATGGCGGGGCAATATTAAACCTAAATTATGTATTCATCTAGGTGGCAAAGTTGCATTCCCCTTACAGATGTGTCCGAGTTCAAATCCCACTTCAAGAATTATTCTCTAGAAAATGTATTTTGTCCTTTTAAGATCATTATAAATAAAATAAAAGCTTTCTGTTACAAATTTGGATGTTCCTTTACTAGTGGGAGATGCAGGTCACAAGTTCGAATATGGTCCCTCCTCCCCCTTTTTTTTTATGTTTTTCCCCTTTTTTAATAGAATGTTGACGTTGCAAACTAGGTCAGCACGCCACATCAGCCAAACACATCACATATGCATGACAAGTCGTCGGTTACTGCAACATAGGCAGTGAACTGATGGTAACCCTTTAATGTTAAACTTTAAAAGATTTTTACAGGGTTAATATCTTAAAAACCATTATTTATACATCTCCGTTTCGATTTAATTCCATCTTTATTTTTTGTTCTTCATTTGCCATTATATTTTAAAAAACGTTTCATTTTCGGGCTCTTGACCGGTCACCAACAGGTCATGATGACGTGGCGGTTTTGCATTTTCCTCAGTTTGCATTTAGCCCCAACATTTACGTATAAGTTTGCATTTAGCCCCAATATTTTTTTTGTTCCCCATTTGCCATTGTTTTTTAGAAAAACTTTCATTTAGCCATTGATCAGTCATTAATAGGTATTTTTATTTCTTTGGTTTCTCAACAAATATGTCATTAAAAATATTTGGTTTCTTAACAAATAATCAATTGTTTTTTGGATGAGTTACAAACGAATTTAAAAATTTATATTAGCATGTCATATTGTTTATTAGATGTTACAGACTCAAAACGTACGCTAGGTCTTTTTTTTTCATTTAAAATACATGTGTACATTAAGTTAAATAAAACAAACACCGATAATACAAAAAAAAACCATTAACTTACCTGCTAACACACCCCGTCCCTTAAAGAGAAGGCACATTTTCGACTCTAGAAATATATGGTTTCTCAACAAATATGCTAGTAGAAATAACTAATTGTTTTTAGATGAGTTACGAATGAATTAACAATTTTGATTAGCTTAAAGATTAGCATGTCATATTGTTTTTTTATATGTTACAGACTCAAAACTTACGCTAGGTATTTTTCCTTTATTTTTAAAATGCATGTGTAGATAAAATACAAGAAACACTAATAATATAAAAAAGAGAGTCATTGGCTTACTAGGTAAAACGCCTCGTCCTCAAGGAGAAGTCGATGTTTCAACTCTTACCTCCGTTTTTTTCTTTTTCATTTTAAGTTATTACGTTTTAAAATACCTATTCGTGACTGGTCAATGGTTAAAACGAAATTTTGTCTAAAAAATAATGGCAAATGGGGAACAAAAAAATGTTGGGGCTAAACGCAAACTTATACGTAAATGTTGGGGCTAAATCCAAACAGAAAAAATACAAAACCGACACGTCATCATTACCTGTTGATGACCGGTCAAGGGCTCGAAAATAAAACGTTTTTTAAAATATAATGGCAAATGAAGAACAAAAAATAAAGTTGGGGTTAAATCGAAACAAGGGTGTATGGATAATGGTTTTTAAGGTATTAATCCTTTTTACAAAGTTAATGACAAATCAGTAACAAAAAAAAAATGTTGCATAAGGTAGAATTTTAGATGCAAACTTATGGAGTATGAACTTTTATAACGTTAACCCTAATAACAAATCATAAACTTCCTACCGCTAATAATAATAAATTTATTTATTCATACACAATATTTTTTTAAATTAGCTATTATTTTAGTATTATGCACGGATGTTTGCATACTTAGCTAATACCATAATATGTTACACACGGGTTACGACGAAGTCTTGTTTTCCAATAAATTATGGTTTTTCTTAGTTTTATCCGTGAATTTTGAAATCTGTTGGGGTTCTTATAGTTCTAAGAAACTTGTGGCATATTTGTGGGAAATTACCCATGGAGTAAGTATGTGGGTAATTTTCGTGGGTGTAGGGGTGTTCAAAACCGGATATCCGAAAATTTGGATATCCGAATTTCGGATATCCGAAAATTTGGATATCCGAATTTCGGATATCCGAAAATTCGGATAATAGATTTTAGGTATCCGAATCCGTATTCGGAATTTCGGATATCCGAAATTTATTTCTACTTTTCTAGTATTAAGAACAAAATAAACCTCAACTCAATTAGATTAAACATGCAAAAAAAAATTGAAAAAAATATGCAATATATAGAACTTATAATTCGGTTACATATAATAAGAAAACTTTCTTTCCTACAATATCAATAATTTCAATTCTTCCGTCGTGAAATGACACCTAATGCTTCTTTTAACTTTCTAGTAATATACCTGATTAATTAATTTACGTACCAAGAAAATTTTCATTGTGAGCAATTTTAATATTAGTGAGCAATTTTAATACGTTTGATGTACCAAAAGAAATAGATATAAGTACATTAAACAAGATGTTATATACACCTACAAATTTATTCAAAGTCATTGTAAAAAACTATAACGACTAATAATAAATCAAAGTGCACTTCAATTTGAAACTTGATTCAAAATTATACATTTTACTGCTAATTACCATGTTATATTCACCCATAATTTTGTATTTTTTAATTTCAAGTTAAGAAAAACTATACTAATATAAATAATTTAAAATATATATAATATATTTCGGATATCGGATATCCGAAATATCCGAAAATTTTGAAATTTACTATCCGAATCCGAATCCGAAAAGGATATCCGAACTTTCGGATAATTTCGGATAGGATTTTCGGATTTTTCGGATCGGATGTTCGGATGCAGATATTTTTGAACACCCCTAAGTGATAGTAGTGAAAACTGCCAAAAGATGCTCCGTAAATGAATACAATGTTGAGTTGTGTATCATGGTCTTCCATTTGACATTTGTGGTTGCATGAATGTGGAGTTCACGTATAAGGTCTACGGTGCTCAAGCACAAGGTTAGCGGTGCTCGAGCAGCTATGGTGCAATGTTTGCGGACCGCGGTGTACGGACTAAAAATATGTTCAGTTGATGACGTTTTTAAAGGCTAGACCCACAGGTAGATCTTTATATCAATGTGTCGATATAAAGTTATAAATAGATAGTTCCAAACGCAGGTCCATCATTGCCGATTAAATGAATCGTACTACCCCGAAACAATCATATTCTTTTACTGGCCCAACATTGAGTAGGTTAGCCAAGAGGAACTATATGTACAATTATCATCAAGGATTCCCAAACATATAGGCCGCTTCTCACCAGCGTACCTCATGTCATGCTACTATGCTAGTGGCCCTAGTGCCATATAGAAAAGGGAGGCAAGTGTTGTTGCTACAGCCTACAGGTGCAGCCCAACTTCTGAGTGAGACTAATCAAGACCCTGGCCAAAGTTAAATCCAGATGAGTTGGCTTATATTGAAAAGTAAAGAATCCCCTTGCTTGATTAAAGTTTTTCGAGTAGCCATGTAATTGATCTTCAATGGAAGTTTTATATGTTTAGCTACTGTCTCATACATACAGGTACGTATACAAACATTCGGATATACTGTTTGCTTCCTGCCAGCCTGCTCAAAGGACAAAACATAGAAAATGAGGAGCCAAGCCGAGCCTCTCCCTCATCTTATTATGAGTAATTGAGTATCTATCTCATCATGGGCAACTCAAGCCTTCCCTTCTTATTTTATAAATTGCAGGTTCATACAAGCAAAATACACATGGATTTGAGATATCATGGACCAGGGATTAAGCAGGCTATGGCCGAATCCGACTCTTGAGGGGCAAAAGAGGAGGTGGCTGGATAAGAGGATTTACAGTTTATTGCTAAAAGCAGTTGAATTAGGATACAAAACATTCATTTCGGAAACTGTTTTTGTCCTTGCATACAAAACATTCATTTTGGAGAGCAAAGCGAAAAGCCAGGATTGATTGATTACTCTTGAGTTGCACAACTCCTAAAGAAAACATGCAGAGGATGGTGACAATGATAAATGCACAAAACATGTAGATGTTCTGGCAGTGAAAGAACAGAGTAGTCTTGATTAAGTTGCTGGGAATTTGAATACATCTTTAAAGCAAAATCCCATTCCATGGCATATTTTAAAAGTAAATTGTTGTAGTTAATAATAATATACACCCTCAACCTGCCTGCCTTGTTCTAAAGGCTCAGAAAGATCATATCCCAAAACTAAGGTAAGGTGAGGTCATAACATTTCATTCCTACACCATAAAATATGTTTTATGCTTTAAAGAAGCAACAAAAAGATGACAAGACAGTTACTAAGCTAGTCTCAGCAGTCAATACAACTATCAACTAACTACATTATCAGTAGAACCTCCTGACGCCCAAGTGTAAGTAAGATACAAGAATCAGAATCCTTCACCTGAAACCAAATTTTGAGTACAATTTTGACATTAATAATGTTTATCCAGATAATTAATACATCATTGTCATCACCAAAAAGATGGAGAAAGTACCCTCCCACTCCCACTCCCACTCCTATAATACCATTTCACCAGTAGACTTTCAAGAGACCAGAGAACCCCTAAGACCTGACTGCTCTGCAAATTTCCAAAACATAACACTTTCAGTAATCAAATCATTAGAAGAACAATACACCAACACAAAAACTGCAAAAAACTTACAAATCATGTCATATCATTCTCTTCCGCTGTTCCTGCTTTAACATCAACAGAGAAAGTATACTCCTGGTCGCATCCCATGTAAGAGTCGCACATGAAATACAGAGTAAAGCTTTTCTTCCCAACTGCATCACTTGGAGCAGTGATGTTATCAAGCTTCACCTTGGCCTTCCTCTGCAACGAAACCCTCTTGATTGCAAGCAACTGGTTGCTCTTTGTGTCACCAACCACCAACCACCAACCTTCCTCTTTACCTTTTGGATACCTCGGGGCATCCACCGGTCCCACCTCAGTCCTACCCTCTAAATCCCTTTCAAGAGTCACCACCATAGTAAACTCCTCTCCAGCCCTAATGTTGTCACCATCCACCACATCATACGACAAATCGATATTAGGGAACCGGTTGCAAAACTTTGCGATATCCATGAGCTGAGGATCCGACATCTGTAACAGCTCCCTTCTCTCATCGTCCTCCATTTCCACCAAGTCAAACACAGTCTCTATACTCCTTCCAGGGTTTTCCTGGCATCTCTTGGCTACATCTTTTGTAAAATGAGGCAGCTGTAACAGAACAGAGTCTCTCTCCCACATGCCCTGTGTCACCATCTGGCTCACTTCCATGGCCAGAAGAGCCAAGCTAAGCCATCCATTGCTTGAAATAACATCAACCATGGCCTGAAGCAACCTGCTTGCAGATAGCACCACTTCTTGCTGGTCAGAACCAAGATTCCCACCTACCGTTTGTCTAGCAAAGTGTGCTTGTAGCAGTGCATTCGCCTTCACGTGTGGGTCCGCGTATTTCGGGTTCTCAAAGGAAAACCTCTGATGATGGATCAACCTACGTATCAAATCCTCTTCTCCAGGGCGAACAGGAAGTTGCTCATACTCTGAAGCGGAAGCCAAAATCTCCAAAAGGCCCTTCAGCTTTGTCTTGGTGGTCAAAGAAGAACTGAACCGTTCTATTGTAGTGTAGCTGATGTAGTAATAAGAAGCAATCATACCAAGATTCAAAGGGGAAAGATCATAATCATCTTCAATCGTAACACATTTACTCGCTTCCAGGTCGCTTAAAGTGTTCTCCACAAGTTCAGACAGGTGATCCGAGAGATGCCTTTGACTCACACCTTGAAGATTGTAGTAATTTGGGTTCTGTGTAAGCCTCCTGTACATGAATGTCCAGGTCAGATAATCAACAGCATCTTGCTTGTTGGCAATCACTTCAACAACCACCTCAGCATTCAAATTATCATGTAGGTGGTGATGCAGATGGCTTTCAACTGGGAATGCTTCGAATAAGAACTTCTTGTAGTATTCCTTACGTGGTGCATGGCAGAAGATGACACACTTTCCAGAGTTATCCACAAGAGGCCGACTTGCATGGCCCATCATCTGAAGAAGATCGGTAACTGGATAATCGGTGTGTGCGTTTTCCCGGCCATCATAGTACTGTGTTCCCATAACCACCACCAAATGTGCACGAAGAGAAACCCCCAACACATTGTACCACTCATCACACATACCTGAATACAACCAGTTTCAAACAGTGTCCTGACTATATCTTGGTCAGTTGTGGTTAGACCCTCATGCAAATATCCCACACCGTAGACCAGAGTTTCCTTCAACATGGGTTCTTTAATCCGCTCAACAAACGGGCTTATCTCATTTTCAGATTGAAGTAAGAACAAAGGCTTCTCTCCATTCTCGTATGTACTTTCAGCACTCGAATATGTCATCAGATCCACAGCAGTTAACCTTGCATGCTTCCTTGTTGGAACAAATACAATGGCTGGTTTTCCATTCTTGGCATGTTGGACAATAGCAGTGTAAGTAGGTTTGCTCATGGCTTGCATTCTGGCTTCAAAATTAGCTATGTCTATCCCCTGAATATGGATTTCCAAGGGCACAGGCCTAACACCTGGTGGGAAATTGAAAAGACCATGTGATGTGGCCCCAATCCATTCACCTAAATCTTTGGCATTTGCAAGTGAAGTGGATAGTGCCACTATCCGAATGTTATGACCTTGACTAGCAATGTATCTCATCCTAGAGACAATCACCTCCAACACTGGCCCACCTTGACCCCCAATCAAATGCAACTCATCAACAATAAAAAGACTTACTTGCTGAATATGCTTACGTTGCTTCCATCTACGAGACAAAGCATCCCATCTATCCGGAGTGCTGATTATCACCTGCCCTTTTTCCAGCAACTTCAAATCTGTGGCTGTTTCCCCGGTCAACTCGCAAACTCTCAGCCCAAGACCATCTCCAAATTTCTTTTTCCATTCATTATATCGCTCCTTGGCAAGTGCTTCAACAGGAGCAATGTAAACAGCACGCATCACTCCCTCCGAAACTTTCTGATGGTTCCTTAAAACTGCAAACTCAGCACATATGGTCTTCCCACTGCCAGTTGGTGCAGCAACCAACACATTGTCATCGGTGTTGTATAGAACTGTGAAGACTTGAGTTTGGACAGGGTTAAAGTGTTTGAATTCTTGATAAAGGGCTTCATATAATGGATTTCTCAAAGCAGTCACAGGGAGTGGCTGCAAGTCCAGCAGCTCTGTTGGTGGAGGATACTTTTCCGGTAAGATTAGGTGGCGGAAAGAAACAGACAAAACAGACAGGGATCCAAGCCATCTGTCCGAGACAACCTTAATGAAGTACTGAGGTGGCAAAGGTTCATAAATCGGGACTGTGAAACTCAAAGTGTGATCCTCGTCGATGTATTGTTTCTTCAACAAGAAATACTCATTATGGAGTATGTATTCCCCATCATTATCTTCTACAATCACCCAAAACGGCTCCACATACCCATGAATCCTGTCTTCCCACTGAAAATCTGGAGTGATAGTGAGTTCCACCTTCAAGATGGTGCGGGTGATTGGTTGAACATGTGCTGCAAGATTAAGCTTTGGGAATTGGTGAATGCACTTGTGAAGATTTCTCCCTAACTTTGGTGCTCTAACAAGCTCTCCTAGCTCTTGTGATGACAGATCATAATATCTTTCCCATGCCAGATCCTTCTTCTCCAGTTTCATCAGAATGTCATTTTTAATACCGTGAAATTGGCGTAGTGGGGTTTGTACGCTCCAGATCCTCTTGTTAATCATTTTGCACAGGTTCAAGGCTTTCTCGGCTAACTGTGCCCATCCTCTTTTCAATACAATCTCAAAAAGAGCACGCATAAGACGTCCCGCACTCTGCAAAACCAAAGTGCAACTCAAGTTAGAAAATAATTATCGTAAGAGTAAAAGGAAAGAAGCATTGATAAATATGTAAGAAATAAAACAAACCTGAGTTATGAACACCATGTCAGATGTCAAAGAAAGTCCTTCAAGCTTTAACTGGGAAATATAAGCCTGGAGTAAGACATTGATCTTTGCACTGGGCTCTTCCAAACTTTCCTTGATGGGAATAGGAACACGGTCCAAAAGCTTTGCAAGTTCCATCTTCTCATCTTGTCTTACTGTTACATATTTGAACTCCTCACTCAGTGAAAATAATCTGCAAAGCTCAATATCGCTCATGGTGGGCTTCAAATGCTCGTTGTAAGTAGCAATAGTTCCATGAGTTATGTAGTAGTAACTTGCGATTCGACCCAAATCAGTAACCTGAAAATACCCACTTTTTCTATCATACTTCACCAGATTGTTTTTATCCAGTATTGTAGCTGCAGAATGGACCTGCAAGAAACAGTAAAGAGCAGTATTTTTAGACAGTATTGTGGCAGACTAAATATTAATGTGGGGTAAAAAAAAACATACCAGATCAGCTCTCCTATCTACAAGTAAAAGATCTCTTGTCAGAGCATCAGCTGATAAACCATAAAGTGTAGGGTTGCGCACCATACGAATGTATAAATAAGTGTAACCAAGCCAATTGAGGGCTTCTTTTGCATTCTGCACGGTTCCAAGGACTATTTCTGCATTCAACTGATCAGCCAATTTGGACACAAACTGACTTTCAATAGGAAGCTGTTGATTCATCAATGAAAGATAGTACTGCAGCTCACTGTGTCCGGTTATAATGATTCCTTCACCATAAGTATCAAACTGTGGCCTCCCAGCACGACCCAACATCTGCATGACATCCAGAGGACTAAGCTCTGTCCAGGCTCCTTTTTCTGGGTTATAAATTTGGGTTCCTTTAATAATCACAGTGTGGGCAGGCAAGTTCACACCCCATGCAAGAGTAGCTGTTGAAACAAGTACTTGAATGTGTCCATCAGCAAACAGTTCCTCAACAAGTTGACGATCAGCCCTAGCCATTCCTGCATTGTGAATTGCAAGACCATAAGGCAACAGATCCTTGAGATCATTGCTTTTCACCAGCTCAGTATGTTCATGGAGAATTTCACGACTTGCACTATCTTCTTTCAAAAAGATCCCCAGGGTGTCATTGGCAAGAGCAGTGTCTCTAATTGCACGTGCAGTCTTGGTTGTTTCTTTCCTTGAATGCACAAATATAAGCACCTGATGCTTCCCAGCCACTCCAATCACCTTTTCATAACAAATATCATTCATCAATTGAAATCTCTGCAATGGCTTCTTTACTGTAATTCCAATATACTGTTGAGCAAGTGGGCAAGGTCTGTAACTATTGTCAAAATGAAACAGGCCTTTCTCCAAGTCAACTCGCATAAATAACGCAACATCATCATAATTGGGAAGTGTTGCAGATAGCCCAACCAACCGAATATGTTCCTTTGTTGTCTCAATTTGTCTAACAGTTCTTGCCACAATACTCTCAAGAACAGGTCCTCTGTTATCATGCAGAAGATGAATTTCATCAATAATTAGAAGCTTAACAAGTTGAGTGTAAGTGCGGTCTCCGGATTTTCTAGTGATAATATCCCATTTTTCTGGAGTGGTGACAATGATTTGTGTTTCTTCAATTTGTTGACGGGTCAAAGACTGATCTCCACTCAACTCCATCACAGTGACACCATAGTGCTTCAAACGATTGGACAGGTTACCAACAACTTCAGCAACAAGGGCTTTCATTGGTGCCACATAGACAATCTTGTAGTCATTGTGGTTGAACGTACCATCCTCATTCATATGCAAACCTATTTGTTGCAGAATTGTGAGCATAGCAACATTGGTCTTCCCTGCTCCAGTGGGGGCACAGAGTAAAAGATTGTCTGCTTTGAACAGAGCAGTCTCATAAACTTTACTCTGAACCCTATTTAACTGATTCATCCCCTCAAAAGCTGGTTGTGCCCAGCTTGGCATGGTTGAGATCTTTACAAGCTTCTCATCAGGAGCAAGTGGTTTGGGCTTCAATGCTGGCACATGAACCTCTTCGTATCCCTTGCTGTGATTTCTGTAAGAGCCTAAAGGAAGCTCACACTTTTTATTTGCCATCAAAAGACCACCTTGCTGAAACGCGATGCTTTCAAGATCAAGCAACTGTCTTTGACCATTCAACCAACCGTTCTCAGCATCCCTGTCAACAACATCCCTTCGACCACGATCCCCATTTCCACCACCACTCTCATCCTTCAAACGCCTTGCTTCTTCTCTTATGCTTTTCTCCAAGTTCTTCTGCCTCTCTTTTGCTGTTGCCCTTGTGGCATGCAGTTGTTCCAATATTGCAGCCAAATCAGGCCCCAGTCCCATCATTTGTTCTTCAATTTGCTTCCTTTGATCTTGATCTTCAGCCCTTGCGAGACGGGTACACCACACAATCTTCAGTCTGTTCCTCAAAAGGTACTTTATCAGACTGAACTTATCAAACTGAAGATGCACCAATAGCTTCGTTTCGACTTCACGGTCATCACCTTCTTCAAGAATCTTCAGTACCTCTTCAGCAAGCTTCTGGCTTTGCTGTGGATCAATCTGCTGCTCATAAGCCTGGGAGATCTTCCTCTGAAGCCAATAAGCATCAATGTCCTGTACATTAAGTGTCATACCCTCATTAGCTTCTTGTGAGTCGTCATCATCCATACCCCCACCCATTTGCATAGCATTGTTCCCATCTCTGTCCAAAACATCATCTTCTTCCTCGTCATCATCTTCCTGTACAATATCAAGATCACTCTCTTCATCATCCTCTTCATTCTCTTCGAATTCAACAGCTACACCAACATCATCATCAAGAGCATCTTCACCATTTGCAGCATTAGACCCAGCAGCATCACCGCCTGCATCTTGAAAATCTGTTATAAGCCTCCCAATAGAGACTAACTGATCAAACACCTGGCTCGGTATAGGGTTTAGCAATTTCTCAACATCCTTCTTCTTGTCCGGGTTCTTCAAAGTATCATTCTTGAGCACAGCCAAGATCTCATCTGCAGCACCACTGACAATATTCAAAGGCTGACCACCCAATTGTGTCTGTATGACACTAAGCATTGCCTCATATGCAGCTCGAGTTTCTTTCGTCTTTGGCTGATAAACCCCTTCCTCTGTTGATGTAAGGACACTCTCTTCTTGAAGACGCCGCCTCTTGCTCTGTCTGTTATTCCCAGCTTCAGCAGAAGCAAGTGATGATGGTTCACGTTCCTTCTTCTTCTTAGACTTGGTGATTTTCTCATCCAACTCTGCAGGTCTCCCTCTGTAAGCACGGTCACCAAAACTCTTGGGGTCTATCTTCCCATACAAAGACTCAGGCTCCCCAGTTGGCTCATGCGTATCTCTTGGCCGAGAATCAGTTGTCAACACAAGGCTCGAGTTGGCTCTGTATTCATACTGTTTAAACCGGGCATGCGCCTCAGCACCACCACCTAAATGTGCCATCTCTAATCAACCACGTCTAGTTCGACAAACCCTAGAATCACCAAAATCAAATCGAATCAGTCAATCAAGCATAATCAACCCACTGTCATGATAAATATACAACTCCCCAGGGAGATAAACTCTATATCCACCAATAAACCGGTATACACAAATATATTACCACCAAAAAAAAGCAAAATCTGAAAAAGTCCTTAGGCAAATGAACAAGTATCCAATTCAATAAACCTTATAAATCGACAAATAGTTGTACAAACCAGGTCTCGATTCCATTCAACGAAACCACGCTAGAAAAAACCTATAAACACGACAGTAAATAAAACTAGGGTTTTAGTTTTGAACCAGAAAGAACCAAGTAAGAGATCGACTAGAAGAATCAAAGGGGATGAAAACATACCAGTATCCGGATATAAAAATCCTTGAGCGGCGAGATTGGAATGGAAACTACAAGTTTTAAAGAGATGTTTGGAGATTTATATCACACGGCGTGAGTTTGTGAGGAGGAGCGACTGCGAGGCGGTTTGGGAGTGAGCGTTCAAATGCACCGGCAAGTCTGGACTGATTGTATTTGCTTCTCATGCGGATGCGGGTGGGCTTAAGCCTAAAAGGCCCCAAAAAGATCTCGCTTAATTTTTCACAAACCCACTTTTCTCGCATATAATTTTTCACATATATACATAATCTCATAGGTCTAACTTTTCTCATTCTAGGAGTATATATATATATATATATATATATATATATATATATATATATATATATATATATATATATATATATATATATATATATATATATATATATATATATATAATACAGGGTTAGGTTCATATGAGACAATAGTATTTTGTGAGACAAGGAGACCAAATCTTGACCACTCATCTTGAATAATCAAAGGCTTAAATTAAATCAGATTAAACCACAAAGAACCACAAGTAGGCGGTGACATTTTTGTAATTAAATGGAACTCTGGGATTAGAATAAGGCACGGAGGGGCAAAAATGGAATTTTACATTCTATTTCATTCAGGTCACAAAAAACACGCGGTGTTCTTCTAAATCTTCTTCATTCTGATTCATAAAACCCTAACCTCGATACGAACACTAAAACTCGTTAGATTCAATCTCCTTTGATTCAATCTCGATCATCAACATCTTATGTTTCCTTGAATGCTATGATTTTATCTACCTTTCATTCTGATTTTGATTCTAAAATCGCTCGAGCACAAATTGTTCCTGAATCAAAAGAAATCCAAATTTATTATTCGAACAAATGGATGCAGAATTGGATTCAGCTTAAGTCATTTCAGGTAATGTATAATAGTATAATTTATCTGCATCATGATTCAAACCTTTCTTTATTTTTCTCACGCAAAAAACTGTAACGCCCCGATTCTCAGGTATTGTTTAAATAAGATTTATTGGGTGAAGCTCTACTCGACGAGTTGGTTGACCTACTCGTCGAGTAGCAGCGGGGTGGGATCGCGTGTTAAGTGACCTACTCGACGAGTCCATATTGGGACTCGGCGAGTAGGAGCTGGCAGATGAAACCCTAAATCCCGGGGTTTGCACCTCTATTTAAAGGAGCCTCAGCCTCCTCATCCTTATGATCTGTTTTGGGACACTCTGATGAATAATGTTTTGAAAACAATTTGTAAACAAAAACTTTTGGGGTTTTAATTATGATTGGAAAAGTTTAAATTTGGCATGAAATTTATGGATGTTACAAAAACCCTCCGCCTCGATGAACACTAAAAATCCTTTTTTTTCCTGATCTACAGTCTCGATTGAAGAACTGGTAAATCGAGATTAAGTTTTCCTTTCAACCATAATTCCTATCATGCTTAAACATTGTGATTACCCTTATTCTGATTACATGAGAGATTTGCGATTGAAGAACCCTAAAAATCCTCTTATTCACTCTGATTCATATTTTCTACTTTGTGATTCTGATTATGTTCACTAATCAAGCTTTCAATCACCTAGCATTACTGAATCAAAGAAATTGGATCAAGATCTCAAGAATGCATGGTTCAACATAATCAGATTCAGGTTCTAATTCTCATATAATATCTCTTTTTTTTACTTCACTTCATATCTACTTCAAATAACTAGAATTTTCTTTTTTCTGTGTCAATGAAGTCAAAGGAAATGTGAATAAACCATGATATATCTTTTTGTATATAGCTTTCTTTAAATTTTTAAATTGAATGTCTAATATTCTACTGATTCTATGAATTTGTAATGAGAATGCATAATATTCTACATATTTTAGTATCATATTCTACATATCTGCACCAGTTCCATGAAGTACAATATGCTAGATATTTTAAAATATGAATGTGTGATATTTTTATTATTCTATAAATTGTAATGTGGAATGTATAGTATTCTACATATGTTAATATAATATATTATATATTCTGCATATTTTTTGTGGAATGTGCAATATTTTGCATATGTTAGTAAAATAGTCCTTTGCTAAACAGGTTGCAAACTGATGATTAATTTCTAAAATCTTCAATGAATTGAATGTGTGATAGCATATTCTACATATTTGCACCAATTAAAGTCTTGGATTTCTATATAAACCTTAAAACTTCCACACAGTACAGAATCCTATATATTTCAAAGTATGAATTGTTATTACGTGATAGTCTGATAAGTCATAATGTACTTCTTAATTTGATATAGACGTAACTTTGTTTTATTATTTCGAGGATCGAGTAAAAATATTAGTAAAATAGTGTTTGGTAACTTAATATTCTAGGTATTCTGATTTGTTAAGTTAGGTGTTACTTCATAAATTTGGTTTCAAATGTTAGTTTATTGATTAATCAGATGTTACTGTTTACTTTGATAAATCAGAACTAATTCATACACCAATGACTTTTTTGTGTAAAGTTAAACTCTATTTGTAGAACAATTTAAAATTCTATATTTTCTTTTATCATAACTTGATGTATTATTCAAAGAATAGTTCTTTATACTTTATTAGGAGAATGTATGATATTAATTATTAATAAAATGAAGTATATGGTTAATAATGTTAATATTATAATATACTAGAGTTTATTTTATCATAACTTTATGTATAATTCAAAGAAAGGTTATTTATATTTTATTTGGAGAGTCTATGATGTTGATTATTATTATAATATAGTTTACGCTTTATAATAGCAATATTCGAGTTTTTGTCAAGTATTTAATAAACAAATTCATGTATTATTCTGGTTTATGGTATTTAGTGTGAATATTCTAGTATTTTGTTCTAATAGAAGCATGGTATATGTTTTGATGCATATCAAGTGACAAGAATGACTCAATCAATAGCAAAATATGTTTTTAATTTGATACTAAAATTAAGAAAACAATGATAGTTCAAGTGATAGATCTTTGTCATAACGTGAAATAAAGGACAATGTATAACATTAAACACATTAATGTATATGGATATTTGACATAAATACTCTAAGTTAACATATTATTAAGTGTTATATTCTTCTTTTCACGATGTTGATTATTCTTAGAATGTATATATTTTTTATATTTGTTTTCATATTAAGTTATGGAAATAATGCATTTGTTTTAGTTTTTTTGTTTTAATAAAGTTATGATATATGTTTTAATGCAGATAAAATAAGAAGAAAAAAATATTGAAGAACCTAAATAATTTGGAAATCTTGATAATGAAACTTGGTATAAGATGAAGAGGGAAAAGATTGATGGAAAAGAAAGCATATGATGGTATCCAAAAATAAAATTGATGGAAGTTTGGAAATGTGTGGCGGTGAATGAAATTCTTAGAATGTTACAAAACATTTGATTTTTATTATTACTTAACTGTAGTTTGTATATTCTGGGTATTTTGTTCTGATAAATATTTGTTTACATTGATTTTACTTTTCATGATGCAGCCAAATTGGATGGTAACCTACATATAAACTAATTGATGAAGCTAAGGAGTTTGCAAAATTTGACCGACTAAAGCATCTTAACCTAGTGTATGAAGTGATGCAGTGAAATGAAGATTGTTGATCGAATTGATAAAACATTTGCAAGAATTTAATGGTTAATGAATTTGTAGTCTTTTTCTCTTTGAATATTGGCTATATTTTCTATATTTTGATTAACATGTATGGTTGAATGTTTGGTAAATAATAGTGTTGTGGTTTGAATGTTTAAAGATTGGTGAATATTTCATAAAACAATATTGTGGTTGAACAATATTTATGTTTTAAATGATAATACATGTAATTTTGTAGTTTATGTTGTGTAATGGTAGTAATATCTTTCACATATTAGACGAGTTTAAAATTAAAGTCTCTATGTAAAAAATTTCATCAGAATAATATTGTATGTTTTATGTTATAATAAGTATATATATAATATTCTAATAAAATAATTTTATATGTTGTTTGTTATCGTGAATTGATGTTTATGTCTTTTTTAGAATTTAAGTCACTATTCAAGGTAAATTTTATAAGTAGAGTGTATGTTGGTTAAAATCATTAGAATTTTGTAATTTATGATGTATGATGTTTATAATCTAATAAAATAAAGTTATAGGTTTTTATAATCTATATGTAGAATATTCTGATAGAATAATATTTTGTGACATTCTAAGTTATATGCAATATATTCTAATACAACAATGTATAATTAAATTTTGGCTTTTTTAATACTCAACGATATGATATTAATATAGTTATTCAAAATATTCAATATTTTTATAATGTCTTGTTAATATATATAATATTATGAAATTATTTGTAATATTATGAAATTTAAGCGTAATATTCTAAAATTATGTTGTAATTGTACAATTAAGTTACATTATGTAAGATTATAATATTATATGTAATATTATGTAATATTTTGAATTTACAATTTATAGTGTTAAAGGAATATATAGAATAATGTACAGAAAAAAAATTGATTTATAGAAAAGAAAATTTTATAATGTTAATGTGTAATAATCTGAAAGATTGTAATATGATGTAATATTATATTATAAGATGAAATATTCTAATTCAGACCATCATTCCCTTCAAGTGTGTAGGAAACCAAATAATATGTAGGAACCTAGACTAATAAACTTTATAAACCAGTGAGAAACATATAAGTTTATAAAATGAAATGACTACTTTTAGGATAAATATCCAACTTTTCTTTGGAAGTTGAAACGTATTCTAAAAACCTCATAGATTAAAAACCAAATTTCAAGTTTGTATTATAAAAAATATATCACAAGGTTACAATATTTAATAATATGTTGTTAATTGATATGTAATATTATGAAATTGTATGGAATATTCCGATATTAAAGTGTAATATTCTAAATTGTGTTATAAAATATAAAATGAACTTATATTACATAAGATTCTAATGTTATATTTAATATCCTGAATATAGATAACATTCTAACAGAATAATTTAATTAGGTTGTCTATATTCAAGTTACAACTTAATATTCTTATCGAATAATGTTATAGGTTGTTTGTATATGTAGAACATTCTAAATAGAATGTAACACTAAATGATTATATGAACATCAAATATCGAACTAGAATATAACAATATATATGTAAGAAAATTAAAATAATGCACAGTTTATCTGTAAATATCAATGTAAAA